GAACTTCAAGTACTAGATTTGAAACAATTCCGGTAAATAATGTCGCTAAAATCATCAAAATACCGAATATCGGAATGTACCGTTATATGGGGGCTATATGAAAACGTGAACCTGCACAGACAATTTTCTGTCATAGGCTGTAGTACTACGAACTTTAAATTCCAGATTTGAAACAACTCCGGTAAATAATGTCGCTAAAATCATCAAAATACCGAATATCCGGAGGTACCGTTATATGGGGCTATATGAAAACGTGGACCTATATGGTCCATTTACGAACTTAACCTGCCTACTGGAAACACAAACATGTATGCAAAATTTTAGCCTTCTATCTCAATTCGTTCGAAAGATAGCGTGACTACCACAGACAGGCGGACAGACATCACTAAATCGACTTAGAATTTTACGCTGATCAAGAATATATACACTTTGTTGGGTCTGACAACAAAGTTAATATACCCTCCATAGTAAGGTGTAAAAACGAATCCCATCCACCGCTTCAGCTGTACGGTATCGCTAGGTTAGTCTCGGCCAAAATCCTTTTTTAATTTCTTTATGATTTTTACCCAATACCGTTAGATACACAAACCAACGTTTGAATATTTTGTCGCATATTGTCCTTTGTTGATTTTACTTGATTTTTAGATGCCTCCTTTTTTTTGTTGTCTAACTCCGTTCGTTTTCAGAATTTCCATTTATTGCATTCCATTCAATGGATATTTTTTGAGAACTCTTCATGGATGTTGTCCTCCGCGTTTCAGGGAAAACAATTTCCATTTGAATATGTTGTCCTGGCTTCCTGTTCTTTGAAAATATCACTTTTTGGTTGGGCACGAACAAAAGCCGCCGTCGTGCATTTGTTTCGAGGTGCAGTCGCTGATGTCGTGTGACAAAAGCGGTAGTAGTTGTTGTTTTTAAATTTAATTTTTTCTTTTTTGTTGTTTTGTGTGAAAATGGTTTATGGCCAGTGAGAAAATATTAAATTCTTTTTCATAGCGTTCCGCCAAAAAAGAAATTAATTGGAAATCAAGGTATGAAAATATTTTCATTGTTGATGGAGGAATTGACAACAAAAAATAAACGTTGACAGACGGTAAAAGTTGTGTGCTTCTGTGGATAGAAGGGCATTTTTAAAGTTTTTCAATAAAAAAAAAAACTTTTAAAGGTCTTCTAAAGACGCAAAAGCTTTTAGAGGTCTTCTATAGAAATAAATGAATTTAAAGTTCTTCTATTGGAGGGTGAACTTTTAAAAGTCCTCTATGGACAAAATAGCTTATATTGAAGGGAAGATATTTTAAATGTCTTCTATGGACCGAAGAGCTTCTATAAACAAAATAGCTCTTAGAAGTCCCCTACTGAAATTATTAACATTTAAAGGTGTTTTATGGGCAAAAGAGCTTTTAATGGTATTTTTATGAAAATATGAGTTTTGTATTGTCTGCTCAAAGTTCTTCCATTGACAGAACGTATTTTAAAGGTCTTTTATTGACAACATAACTTTTTAAATACTTGCAGACGGGGGAAGATATTTCAAACGTCTTTTATGGACAGAAAAGCTTCGGAAGAGTTATATAGACAAAGGAGCTTTATATACCTTTTATAAGCAGAAAAGCTTTTTATTTTCTACTCAAAATTCTTCAATTGACAGAATGTTTTTAAATGTCCCTAATTGACGAAAGAGCGTTTTAAAGACTTGCAGATAGGGGAAGATTTTCCAAACATCTGCTATGGACAGAAAAGCTTCGGAAGAATTATATATACAAAAGAGGTTTATATACCTTCTGTCAAAAAATATTTAAAAGTCTTCTATGAACAGAAGAGCTTTAATATATATTTTATGAAGAAAAAGGATTTTAAAAGTCGAAGATCTTTAAGAGGTCTGTTGTGAACAGAAGATTGCTAAATTATATTCCATGAAGATAAAAGATTTTCTATGTGCAGAGGAGCTTTTAAAGTGTTTTTTATGAAAATATGAACGACGTTAAAGCACAGACAGAAGGTATTTGAAAGATCTTCTTAGAGATCTTAAATGTATTTTTCGGTATTTTTATATTTTAGAAGTTCTAAAAACTGAAAGCCCTTAAACAGTTTTTTTATTGAACAGAATTTGTCTTAAAATTTCTTCTGTGGACAGAAGAGCTTTCCACGGTCCTCTATTGTATAATAGCTTTTAAAAGCATTCCATGGCCAGAAGGGCTTTTTAGAGTATAATTTAGATAGAAGAGCTTTTATATGTCCTCTCTAGAGCAGAGCTTCTAAAGATTCTCTGTGTCTTTTCTGTACTAATTAACTTCTATAACAGATCTCTAAAAAAACTGCTATAAGCAGAAGTTGTCAAGATCCTCTCGGAATAGAAGACCTTTGGAGGAATTCCATGGAAGGAAATCTAGTCGGGAAAAATATATTTTCTATGCACAGAAGACTTTTAAAAATATTTATGTGGAAAGAAGAATTAAATGTCTTCTAGTAATAGAAGACCATTTCAGATTTTTTTTTTAAATAAAGATTTTCCATTGACAGTTAACCGTCTAAGGCTACCCTAAAAAGCCCCATATTCTGTCCATTGAAAGGCTTTGCAAGTTCTTCTGTTTATACAAAAGCTTCTAGAGGTCTAAAGTTTACATGTCATAAAAATATATTATATCCACAGATGTAATAGGCTTTCTGTCCTTAGATCTTAAAAAGAATCTGCTATGAACAGAGCTCTCAAAAGTTTTCAATGGACAGAAAACATTTGGAGATCTCATATGAATAGAAGAGCTTTAAAAGTCAAGATTCTCAAAATGTACTGCGGTCAAAAAAGCTTTATAGACATTATGTGAAGACCAGTTTGAGCATTTCTGTGAACATCTTGAGAACTTTTCAATTGACAAAGCTTTTAAAGCTTTTCTATATTTATTTAATGGACAGAAGACTTTTCATATCAACATGGGAGCTTTAAAAGTCAAGATTTTCAATATCAACTGCCGTCAGAAGAGCTTTTTAATGTTAATGGACAAAAGTTAAAGCTCTTCTATGGAAGAAAACATTTTAAATACCTTATCTAGAAAGAAGACATATTTAAGCTTTTCTTTGAACAGAAGACACGTCAAGCTTTGTAATTGACAGAATAGCTCTTAAAGCTCTTCTATATACAGAAGACCTTTCAAATAAATTGTATGAAGAGAACAAGTTTTAAAGCTCTTCTGTCGGCAGAACACTTTTAAAGTGGTCAGAAAATCTTTTCAAGGCACATTATTGACAAAAGTTAAAGCTCTTCTATGGAAGATTACCTTTTGGTGATCATATATGAAGATAAGAGCTTTTAAATTCCTTTTATGGAAGAAGCCTTTTAAAATTCTTCTAGGAGCAGAAGACCTGTTAAAGCTTGGATAGGGATAATATCTTATCGAGCTTTTCAATATACAGAAAAGCGAAATTTTATGAAGAGAAATAATTTTAAAGCTTTTCTATCGGTAAAATAGGGTTAAAGCCTTTTAAAGTCATTTAAAGCTATTCGATGGAAGAATACCTTTCAAAGCTCTTCTATGGAAGAAGTTTTTTTAAAACTCTTCCTTGGAAGAAACCCATGGACAGAAGACCTGCAACAGATTCAGTAGGAATATAAGACCTTTTCGAGATTTTCAATTGTTCCAAAATTGTTCTTCCAGAAACAGAAGACTTTTTAAAGGAATTTTATGAAGAGACATTTAAAGCTCTTCTATCGGCAGACTACGTTTTAAATCTCTTTTATGTATAGATAAGCTTTAAAGCAATTTTCTGAACAGAATCCTTTTTAAAGACATTTTTTGAACAGATGACCTTCTAAAGACCTTCTACAACTCATCTATAGAAAGAAGACTTTCTAAAGTACTTTTGTGGATAGAAGATCTCTCAACGTTTTTCTGTAGATAGAAAACATTTCAGAGCTTTTTCAATATACTGAATAATGTTGAAGCTCTTATATGAGCAAAAGAGCTTTTTTCGTTGTTCTATGAACAAAATATCTTTAGGAGCTTCCCTATAGATAAAAGTTAATAACAGAAAAGCTTTTACAACTCTTCTATTAGCCGAAAGCCTCTCAAAACAGAAGGTCAATTAAATATTTTCTCTGAATATAATGCCTTTAAAAATATATTAAATGATCTATAATCGAGCTTTTAAAAGTTTCATTTGCCTGAAAAAGCTTTTATAGCTCTTAGGTGAACAAGTATGGATTTAAGAGCTTTCCTATGGACAAAATCCTTTAAATTGTATGTTATGAACAGGAAATCTAAAAAAGCTTTTAAAGGTTTCATTTGGTGGAAACAGCTTTTAAAGCTCTAAGGTGAACAAATATACATTTGAGAATTTCCTTATGGAAAAAATATTTGAATTTTATATAATGAAAATACAAGTTTTAAAGCTTTTCTCTCGGCCAAAGACATATCTGAACAGAGTCTCTCTTCAAAAAAAAAAATTTAAAAGCTCTCCTATAAACATTAAACATCATTACTCGAGTTTTCAAAAAATTTCCTGTGGTCGAAAAAGCTTTTAATAGTCTATTCCATTTTCTGTTTTTATATGTTTTATATTTTTCTCCTTGTTATTTATTTATTTTTTTTTTTCGCTTATGCTCCTGAGAAGCTTCGATATTATTTTCCATTAATTAGAATCGGGTTAAAAGCAAGTAGGGACATTAAGGATTGGTTACTGAGTTAAATGTTTTTTTTTTTTTTTTTGTAATTAATTAGATATTAAAATGCGAGTCCGCCATGCAAGGGATGCAGAGTATAAAAACTAATTACATTAAATCTAAACCAAAAACAGCAACAACAACATATTAACGGTGAAAGACAACACACACACGCATACATACATAAAAATAATTACATGTTTCAAACTTCAAGAAAGTCATTTAGTAAATTGAAATCAATAAAGGGTGGGTAGCAAGGATGTGGGAGGATAGCAATTGCCATATACGTTTAGAAAAAAAAATTAGATAAAAACAGAGAATAAAGAGAAATCAAGGCAATACTTACACAGTGTTGTTCCTGCAGGATTACCGGCAGCAAAATGGGCAGCATATGCTGCAGCTGGAGATGCTGCACTTGCCATGGCAGCCATGGTTGCATGCGGATGATGGGCATGCAATGAGGCATAGTGTTGTTGTTGTTGCAATTGATGCTGTTGTTGTTGGTGTTGTTGTTGCGTTGTTGCCGTTTGATGAGCCAAATGATGTTGACCGGTGGCCGCGTACGACGTAGCCAAATGAATGCCCGAACCAACGCCGACAGCACCACCACCCCCACCACCATGGGGATGGCTAACAGCCGCCGTAAGAGCCTTGCTCGTCGGTACACTGGCATAGCTTCCACCCTGCTGGGAGGCATAGGCCGCCGCCGCCGCATTGTGCTGGGCCGCTGAACCATGATTCATAGAGGCTAAGGCAACCAGATTTTGCATGGATAGGGAAGAGGCCAGTAATCCATTGCTAGGACCAGTGTTGTTGGTGGCTGTGGCGCCTGTTGCTGCTGCTGCAGCGGCGGCGGCGGCTGCTGCGGCAGCATTATTGGCCGATATTGAGGCGGCAGCAGCTGTGGTACTATGATCCGGTGGGAAATTTAGTCCTGATTTGTTATCCAGTTTTTTTTTTTATAGAGTTTTTTATGGGTTTTAAGGAGTTTTGTTTTTGTGTTTTGATGGTATTTAAGGTAATTTGTATTTGTTTTTGTACACATGACCACACAATCAAGTCAATCATAGACATACCAAAAAATGTATTTGAACGAATATAAAAAACATAGAAGAAAACACACACCCAATTGGATTATTTACATTTACGAAAAACAAATTAAATAAATTAAATTTGAAATTAAATAAATGAAAATAAAAAAACATAATAAAAAAAAAATTTCTAGTTGTTCTTGTTGTAATAAATGTAGATTCGAAAGCTAAATGGCAAAAGAGCTTAGATGGTGTTTTTTTGCGGGAAATCTGTAGTTTTTAAATGGAAGAGCTGTGGGGAAATTTAGTATTCTTGGAGTACTCGTGAGACGACGCCTTGGTCGAAAGTTTTTCTTTTTTTTTTTTGAATATAAATATTTTCTTAAAAAAATTAACCTTAGAACAAATTTTTAAAATCGGAAAAAGAAAATTGAAAAAAAAGTCACATACTATGATTTTTAAAAATTTGGAGGGTTTGTGGGATGGATTTTAGTAGATGTGGACCGATATTGGACTACCTAGCCGAAGTCTTATACAAATATTTCATATATAAATGCCGCTAACAAAAAATTACACTGTGTAACCCCAAAAATAATTACAGGGAAAATCCATTTGATTACAAAAGTTGAGCTTTAAATAGAATAGACGTGTATCGGCGTTTAGAAAATTTACATCACACATTTTTTTCGAAAAATTCGGATTAAAATTCCCTGGAATCCATTGATTCTAGATGTATAGCGTGTTCAGCAATATTGCAGATAACAATACGGGGATTATTTCGGTAATAAGTCTTAACCCTCAAGTGAGTCGACAAACAGGATTTTTTTGCCTTTTTTGAAAATATGCTCAAAAACTACCTTTAAACGGGCTCATAGCTGGTCAAAATATTCTACAAAATTATTTGTCATAAAATTCTACTATAGGTCCTAGAATACGTCAAAAATCTAAATCTTACCTAAACGCCAGGAATTCATATATAATAAAAAGCTTTAAGCTTAAAATCGCACTTTATGAGAGTTTATGCATAAATCTCCAACAAAGCATCATTTTTGAAGGATGATGTCAAAGACAAAAATATTCTGAATCAAATTTCATTATAAGTCACTAAAACAAAGATATCTCTATTTTTATTACATATCATTATAATATATGCTACAATATTACCAAAAGAAACCCAAAATATTTCCTAATTTTTTTATCCATTTTTTCTTTGGAACTTTTTTCGAATTGACGCCTGAAAGTGTCATAATTTTTCGTCTTAGGCCGAAAGTGTCAGACACTCGAAATAATTAAAATTAGGTTCATCTTTTATAAGGGCTATACCTAAAGGTGGACCTATCTTGAGAATTTCCTAAAAGTGGACAGATATGACCCATTTGATATTTTTTATGGTATACAGAATCCGATAAAAAACTGCAACAAAAGTCAAATGCCATAATTTTTATATTTTTTTAAGTTTTATTCAATGAAAGCAAAAACGTCGGTATTAGCATCAAATTTTAGAATAAGTTTAGATTTGTTCGAATTGGTCAACTTTGGAACGAATTATGGCCTTCAAATGGCCAATGAAACCGTCACACGCGGCCCGAATGTTGCTAAGCGGTATTTTGGTCCATTCTAGGCGAAGCTCTTGCCCAACCTTGCTTTCCAAAATACTCCAGCCACAAAAGTCCTGGTATCTGGAGATTTTGGTGGCCATTGTGCGCAGGGAATGAAGTGAGGAACCTCATTTTGTAACCATTCTTGGGTGGCGCATGCTGAGTGGTGTTGGAATGTCCAAGGTCTGCGGCCTAAATGTTTGCGTGTCCAAGGCTTTAATACACCCTCCGGAATATTTTCGCGATAATATTCGGCATTTATTTTGATGGCACGGTCGATTAATACGAGCGTAGAGCGCCCATCGGCTCTTATGGTGGCCCACACCATCACCATGGCCGGCGCTTGAGTTCTGGTGGCCAAACGAAGGTACACATCGTCAGCTGACCTCTTTGGCAAGTAAACACTATCATTAGTTCTTTTGATTACAAACTGCTAGACAACGAATGTTTTCTCATCGGAGAAAACCAAATTCAGCAGTTCACAACTTTCGGCCAGTCTAAGCTACGCTTTAGCCCTTTTGAGTCTATTTTCTTTCTGTTGCGGTGTATGTTCTTGCACTTTTTGGAATTTCAATGGCTTTACCCAGGGCTCATTTTTCAATATTTGCCGAATGGAATATTGCGACATTTTCAGCTCAGAAATTCCTAAAATTTTTCTTTGTTGTAGAATTGTGCCTAAACTCACATAAAGTTAACCCTAAAGTTTGTGTTTTAATATTTTTGAATTACAGGCGTTGAAATAAGATTCAAAATTTTAAAGTCTTCTGGTACCTATAGTAGAATTTTATGACAAACAATTTTGTGAAATATTTTGAATTGTTACGTTCCCTTTTAAAATGAGTTTTCAATCATGTTTGGAAAAAAGGACCCCTTTGGTGACTCACTTGAGGGTTAAAATTATTGACCAAACTAAACTTCCTGTAATATTCCTAAGGACACTATATACCACAAATGTAAGGATTCCAAGGAATCTCTCGTTTAAATTACATTTTCAAGTGTATTTTGGAAAAAGGTCCAAAAAGACCACTTTGGTGACTCACTTGAGGGTTAACATTATTGGCCAACTTAAACCTCGTGTTGTTATCTGTAATATTCCTTAAGACACTATATACCTAAAATCAACGGATTCTAGGGAATCTCAATTCGGAAAAAAAAAATCCTAAAAAGTGTGAAAGAGGAGAAAACTACAACTGAAAAATTGAATTTTGTCGCACAGTGTTATCAAGATTATGTTTTGTAGGACTATCTGAGTTACAGACGTGGATTTATAAGATTATTTTTTTAAGGACACAGACGGGGATTTTTGTGATCATAATTTCAAGCACATAATCTTGGTATATAGTTGTAGATTTCTGAAAATTTTTTTGTGAGGCTACTTCCTAAGATTATTTTTCGAAGCATATAGTCGATAATTTTCTAAGCTTGTGATTTGAAGAACTATCACAGCATATACCATAAATATGCATATAGGTGTAGGGTATATATATTCAGCCCCGCCCGACTTTTGTCTCTTTCTTACTGGTTACACCTTTTATATTTATTATTATTATTATTATTATTATTATTATTATTATTATTATTATTATTATTATTATTATTATTATTATTATTATTATTATTATTATTATTATTATTATTATTATTATATTATTATTATTATTATTATTATTATTATTATATTATTATTATTATTATTATTATTATTATTATTATTATTATTATTATTATTATTATTATTATTATTATTATTATTATTATATTATTATTATTATTATTATTATTATTATTATTATTATTATTATTATTATTATTATTATTATTATTATTATTATTATTATTATTATTATTATTATTATTATTATTATTATTATTATTATTATTATTATTATTATTATTATTATTATTATTATTATTATTATTATTATTATTATTATTATTATTATTATTATTATTATTATTATTATTATTATTATTATTATTATTATTATTATTATTATTATTATTATTATTATTATTATTATTATTATTATTATTATTATTATTATTATTATTATTATTATTATTATTATTATTATTATTATTATTATTATTATTATTATTATTATTATTATTATTATTATTGTTATTGTTATCATTATTATTATTATTATTATTATTATTATTATTATTATTATTATTATTATTATTATTATTATTGTTATTGTTATCATTATTATTATTATTATTATTATTATTATTATTATTATTATTATTATTATTAGTATTATTATATTATTATTATTATTATTATTATTATTATAATTATTATTATTATTATATATTATTATTATTATTATTATTATATTATTATTATTATTATTATTATTATTATTATTATATTATTATTATTATTATTATTATTATTATTATTATTATTATTATTATTATTATTATTATTATTATTATTATCATTATTATTATTATTATTATTATTATTATTATTATTATTATTATTATTATTATTATTATTATTATTTCCAATTTTCAACCCCTAAGCTCTTTTACCATTTTAGCTGTAGCAGCAAAAATATATATATAAGTGGCATTGCAAATTCTCTATACATACACTGAAATAAATACAAATAAATCAAAAAAAAGAAAACAACAAATACATACAAGAAAAAAATGATAAACTAAAAAAATAAAAACAAAACTTAAAAAAAGCATACTCTTTTTTCTTTAAAGAAAAATCAACACAAATTAAATCAACAAAACTAGACTTTCTTTAAAAAAAAAAGTGAGAAAAAAAATTAAATAAATAAATGCAAAATGCTGTTAGACAATTTTGAAAAAAAGAGGGCAGAAGAAATAGTTTGAAATTTATTTTATTATTTATTACTGCAAATTAGATGAAACAGTTTAGGATTAGTCCAAATTTAGTTATTTTTTTTTTATTTTTTAATTATTTTTTTTTTAAATTGTTGCATTTGTGATTTAAGCCGAGCATTAAAACAATTAGAAGAAAAATGCGTTCCACACAAAAAAAAAAATGTATGCAATTGCAGTAGATGTTTATATATAAAAAACGCAATAGGAGGTTAGAAAAAGATTTTTTATGATTTAAAATCGTAGGTTGCTGAAAATTATTTAACTTTTGTGAGCTAATTAATTTTTTCTATTATTTTTAATGCAATTTTTTTTTTTTGTTTCAATACAAAAACACAAAGATATATAGAGAGGTAAGAAATATAGGTGAAAAAATACATATTTCGATTTTTTTTCCTGCAACACTCAATCACACATTCACATTGACATTGCAACATAAT